TACCATTAGTGGTACGCGTACCATTAGTGGTAAGTGAGGGTCCTCTAAGTGGTAGGTACTCGAGAGCAATTTATTGTTAAATAAAGAGCCCTCTGTATGGCAATATCCTTCTAAGTGGTACTCGAGGGCACTTTGTGTGGCATGAGCTGTCTATGTGGTACGTGTAAAATTTGGGGTCATGAACGGCTTCTTAGTCCCTTTCTACTTATGTTTTACTTCAAAATTTATTTACGTGAATCGGCCGAATACAATAAGTGACCGATTCGCGTCTGATCCAGTTCTAAGCCGAGTATGGCTAGCCTCTAAAGTCCTAAAACAGAATCTGGATTTAGATGAGGTATTGTGACGAATTATATAATCTACCGGTAACTGGCATCTGTTGCTACAAGCACCTAGCCTGGTCCCAAGAGTTAGATTCAAAGATGACATTCACCTAATGCACTATTATCTGTTGAATTCAGACAGAACATTTACTTTACCCACTAATTATTTTTACTGTAAGTTTAATAAAATGGAACTAATACTACATATCAATGGTTAACATGCAGTCGTTTGCTGGCCACGGATAACTGGCGGTACACGTACGAATAGGCACGAGCCCTCAAGCAGTACTCGGTCACGTCACATGCAGAGGCAGTAACTGCAATGCTGTAACTTCACTGCAGTAAATGCACTGATGTAACTGCACTGCTGTAAGTTCACTGCAGTAACTGCACTGTTGTAACTTCACTTTACACTGCCCTGCAACAACTGCACTGATGTAAATGCATTGCAGTAACTTCACTGGCTGCAGCAATTGCACTGCTGTAGCTGCACTCCCGTAGCTGCACCTCTGTAACAGCACGAAAGGGCTTACGGAAAAATACGTACTCAGCAGTTGATCGCTCATAAACAATGCTCTTCATAAAAGGTAGGTGCTAACCCCCTGAAAATAGCCTTGTCACGCACAAATGAGATGCTCGTTACCGCAGCTGCGTGGACACCTTAGCCCACACGTCACCCATAATACCCACTCACACAGCCTATTATTCAGCCCACACGTCACCCATAAAACGCACTCACACACCCTCTTATTTTCTCCGAGTCGTCGCTTTCCTGATGCATTGGCCGGTGCCCCCACAACATCATCATGAACATCATAAGAATTGCATAGACATGCATAATTTTTCTTTTGCCCTAGAGAGCAGAAGGGACCAAAATTTACAGCGATCGTTTTGTGATTCGTTAATGTGTTATGTTAAATACGTCAAAAGAAATAGTCGAGTTTGTTAAAATTAGCAAAAGGAATTTTCTTCACGGTTCAGCATTGATGTAAGCCTTCACACTTAAAACCTATTGTAATATAATCAATGAGTATTCAGCAAGATTACTAAAATAATGGAGTTTCGATGCATAGATGGATTTATAATGTGTTCAATAACCTCCTTGCTATCCACTACACAGTTGTAGTAGTGCACCGACACAGTCTCATTATCCTCCTAGTTATCCTCTGCTCAGCGGTATCAGTGCACCGACAGTCTCATTATCCTCCTAGTTATCCTCTGCTCAGCGGTAACATTATCCTCCTAGTTATCCACTGCTCAGCGGTAGCAGTGCACCGACACAGTCTCATTATTGTCCTAGTTATCCTCTGCTCAGCGGTAGCAGTGTGCGCATGAAAGCCTCCAATTAGATCGCATTCCAAGACTCTAGGAACATTCCCGCCAGACGGCGTTCCTGCTATCAAATAGTTTCCGATTGGCAAAAGTTTTAATTTGAAGTACGTGCAGAAATGGTCTAATGACATTATTTAATATAAGTAAATAGGGTACATTGCGCACCTGGATATAGCAGGATTCTAAAAAATCACTTGATATAAATCGAAAGTTCTTGCTATGATGCGAGAAATGAATTACATATTAGAAAGTCAGAAGTTTGGAGATAAATTGCTTGAAAAGAATTTATTTAGCTATCAGCAGTACGAGGTGCAACCGACGAAAGTGTCTGTTGCTTCTCTGCTACGGTGCACTCAGTAACAGAATATATGCTTTCTCGTGTGTGGGACGAGTTTGGTTACCGTTTAGATGTTTGCCGAGCAGCACCTATTAAACATTTATAAATATTAAAAAACTTTGAATCTTTCTCTTTCCAATGGAGTATAAATTACTCATTTTGAATTTATACTTAAATAGATACGAATTTATTAAATTGTGTCCATCATTTAGAATAACCCTGAATTATTTAATAAAACGAAGCATTCCTTTGACACAAAAAAAATGAATATTTTGCCTCACAGCTCCAGGCCTCAGGACTTACACGCATTTGCAAAACTGTCTATTTCAAGGAAACACAAACTATGTGCAAAATATGAGCTCATTTTCGAAGAAAATAATTTTTGACATTAGCCAATTCTTGAAAAAATGTCAATGTACGTACAGACTTGCATAAAAGGCAAAAAAAAAAACATTTTCTGGTGACGTTCATCTTAGATATTTTATTTATGTCGTGAAACAAGAAAAATACTCCACTGAAATTCAGACGCCGAAAAGTGGTCGAGGCGAATATTGCAGCGTCGGCATAAATGGCTAAAAAGCTTTGCAGTAAAGCAGACTTGGCGACGCCTCCTGAGACTCTAACTTCCTCTGGTATTCAAAGATAGGAAATAGAGTCGACATAATATAACATTTTCTCATTACTTATTTTTTATGGCGCATGCATTAGGTATCCTTGCTTTCTCATAGTTGCGTCTCAATAATGCTTTCCAAAAGTAGACTTTGTTGAATTACTTCTCAAATGCACAGTTTACATGTCCTGTTCGCCTGCTTGCGAGTCACGCGCAAGATCCCTGTACGTTGTAGGTTTTGTTATCATCTTCAGTTTTAGTTCGGTGCTGGCTCGAGAATTATGAATAGCAAATATTTGGTACGTGTGTTTTAGTATTTTAATATTTAGTATTAGATATAGTTTTAGTTATTAGTTTAGTTTTAGTATTATATTCTTTTTAGTATTTACAGCAGTTTTTATATCATGAACATGACAGATGTTCGAAATCAATGATTTTACTTCTCGATAAGTCATGCCTTTTGTGCAATAATAATTTTTAGTTACCATTTTTGTCATTGTATCTCGCTTGTTCTTTTCAAAAAATATAATTTTAGTAAGAGTGAACGGCAAAATCATGTATTCAAAGTTTTTCTTAATGAATATCCGTAACGAAACACATTTGATTCGTGTCAACAACACACTTTTCCTGGGGGGAAGGATACCTAATTACTATAAATTCAGGTGATAAAACAATATACATCACATCTTAAAATAATTACGCATGCTGTGTAAAGATGCATCGTAAACGTCTCTATGGAAGGTCTTAGGACAAATTATCTGTTTCCACGACAGTACAAATTATCAAATGCCGTCGACACAACTTTTCATATCTCATAAACATGTTCACGTCTTCTTATTATTGCTACGTCCCGTAGGCCCCGTAAAACTTGATGGGTGGGGCAGCAATCTAGCTGAAGGCCGCGGTATAAATGGATCTCACTGAGAGAAATGAACCGCATGCAAATATCGCCCGGAGAATTGATCATATAAGATCGCCTAATCTCGACCGAGCAGATAGTTTAGTTCAATGTTTATTCTCTATGCTTAAGAATGTATTTCCTAGAAAGAAAACTGCACCTAACATCGATTTGAATTGAATAAATTATATATTGAACTCAATTTGACATCAGTAGGGCATGCAAAAGCAACAGGGATTGCTAACAAGCTTTTACACCTCGCGAGCTTTCGAAAAAAAAAACTTTAGCGAAAAATAAATATGCAGAAAATTCAGGATAGCTTAAATTTATATACAAGCAGGTCATATACAGAAAGGCCCCAAGTTGAGATAAAGATTTGTAAGTACTTTTAATGTTGATATCACAAATAATATAATAAATAGGGATGAAAGTTTTGCATGTTTTCAATAATATTCTTGCAATTAGGATTTTTGGGCGTGTGTATAAAATCAGAAGAAAAGAAAGAGAAAGTTTCTTAGAAAGAAAATAATTTATTAGAATGAATAAATAAAGCTTAATTTGATTTAATATATTTGTAATAGACCGTTCTGCTCACTGAAATTCACACACAAATTTTTACAAATAAATTCCATTTAGAAATAAAAAATTTCAAGTGAAAGCATGACATGATTTTTTAAATTACTAGTTTTTATAACTAAATAAAACCAGTTAAACATGTACGAGATGAATTATTTATAAAATATCCAACAGAGCAAAACTCATCTTCTAATTTGATCTCGGAAAGACAAGGCCCAAGGCTTTAATTTCTTAAAAAAAACATGGCATTTCAGTTGCAAAAAATAAACTAAATTCTTGTATTTTACAACGGAAAATAATCAATCAAATCGTATCATCAATAATACCATGTTACATATGGAGTTGTAATATGGTAAAATATATAACATTATCATCATGCCTGGAGCATGATGATAATGTTGGACATGAGACATTGGAACATGAACGACATGAATACTGAAGAGAAGATAAGAATCATGTTCATTCAAAATCGCATAAAACAAGATCTAGGAAGTATGATACGGTATGCTGGTCTTAATGGCTAAAGCATCTGAACGTTGTCTCGACATGCGCTGTGCCTTTGTTTACGGTTAGATTAACCGTCAATGCTTCGAGTTTCTAAGGACCATTTAACCAGTAACAGTCAATAGACAAACGGTTATAATGACCTTATTGTTTATTATGATCTAAACCCTTCCATATTGAATTTTATCTTATAAACTCATCTTACTGAATGTCGCCATCTAAATAGGATTATCTATCCCCATCTTATAGGATTGAATAGGATTATCTACCCCATCTTATTGTATAATACCTTATAAACTCGTCTTGTTGAATGGCATTATCTACCCCCAACTTATTGAATATCATAATCTTAACGCATCATATTGAATATGATCATCCTAAGACAAGACGATCTTCATTCAAGCAGATCTCATTACTCACCACCATCGTCGCTGTACTGCAATCTGTCGTCGTTCCACTGTTCGCGGAATGTCATTTGAATCCCGAACTCCTGGCAGAGAAATGATTTTAAGATAAGAAACCTTCGGATAAAATTACATAAGAAATTAGTTATTTCTTTACTAACAATTATTATATTTATTTATTTATGAATCAAGTTTTCGCTTTTGATACTTTTTACGTATCAGGGATACGTCTGGTTTGATTTCGGTTCGCACTTTGGGTAAGAAAGTGTCATAATTTGCGCAATATAAATTGATTCTTCCGAGTATCGAAATATATTATTCTATAGCCTTAAATCGAGGGCTGTCACATCAGTTAAAATTCGTTTCTTAAAATATTTTATTTTATTATTATCTTTTTCACATATTCATAAGCAATACAATCCCGATGAGCTTTAATTTTCCGTCAAGGCTGGGAGCGGTTAGACTTTTTCAACGACTTCTTGCAATTAGACATAATTCATGCTAGTTTAACAATTTCCTCATAATAAAATAACAAATAAATACTCCAGAAAATTCAAAATTAGCGCTGGCAAGAATGGATTACATAGCAACATGAGTAATTACGAAGTTCAATTTTGTTTTTGTTAAAGGCTCTGATAAGAGAGAAAAATAAAGCTTAATAAAAATATGAGTGAACTCTGGCCCTAGAATTTTTGGCATGCCTATAATAGATTGATATTTTCTTCTGATTCTGTAACTAGTGGCAATTTATCAAGTATATTATTCTCCTATCAGCTAAATTACATATTTTGTCATTCTCCACTTAGTGACCTAGTTGGGATGTTGTTCAATTCTTGAATTAGAGACCAAAAGTTATGCAAGAATGCCCCAAATATTGACGATTTTCCTAATGAAGATATAAAAATCTAAGATAAAACATTCCATTGTAATATTGAACATTTTTATTACTTAAATTATTAGACGCCAGCGACTTGTAAAAGTTCATGACTAGTACTCAGTTCGTGACTAGCACTCAGTTTATGACTAGTACTCAGTTCGTGACTAGTACTCAGTTCGTGACTAGCACTCAGTTTATGACTAGTACTCAGTTCATGACTAGTACTCAGTTCATGACTAGCACTCAGTTCATGACTAGTACTCAGTTCATGACTAGCACTCAGTTCATGACTAGCACCCACTTCATGACTAGTATTCAGTTCATGATAAGTATCACTAGTACAAAAGTACAATACAACCTACCATGTTGTAGTCGTCTATCTTGGTGATGGCTCGTATCATGATGTTGATGACAACTCTAGTGTAGTCAGCGTGTTGATCTGTGAGACGAAAAAAACTTGGTTCATTCCAAATTATCGAAATTGTATTATTATTCTACCATCAATTGTTATTAATTATATATTATTATAATTTTAATTATTATCGACGCGTTTTCTTCATCTGCCGCAACGTTCCAACCGAAACAAACAGTGCATTTCAAACAATGATACATCAATGTCTTATCATAAGGACTTGAAAGATGAAAAAATATCGTTTTCAAATTCAGAATTAAATTACAATTTTCATTAAATTCATCCAGATGTCAAAACCAGATATTACAATTAGTCCGAATGTCATGTGGGCTTTGACGAGAGGCAGTATACATTTAATGTACGAGCCTGTCGATTGGAGAAGGAACTTAAATTTAAATTTCAAGTGGAATCAGAAGAGCAATTTTCTTCTAAGCCATTAATTCGTACATAGAGGTAACAAATAAATAGATTTATAAACTTGATGTTTTCCATCAAACATGATAAACTAAAATAAAACGTGCTACTAAATTTTTAGTCATCAAATCTTCGAAAACGTAAAGGAAACCTTAAAATCGCCGATGCTCCTTATTCTTATTTAACATTTTGACGCAATTAAAAAGTGCATTTTTTAGCGGCACTCCCATTCGCTTTCTCTGCAGCAGAAAACACAGAGGATATGGATGCCAAAACGAAGTATTTGGCACCAACCAACAGGATTACAGTCAACGAGCTGTCCGAACTGACTAGAGGCTTAAATTGACTATAGACTAGAGACTAGTGACTAGAGGCTTAAATTGAGCCATGAGAGCATGAAGGGAAAAACAAAATGTCAGGCTTACGGTGAGGCATGGAAAAATGGCCTCCAGTCAACTCCGTAAATTCAATAACTCTTTTCGCACTCGTTCGTTGGGCGGAAAGGTAGAGATAAAGCAATGAAAGATGTAGGGAAAGTTTGATTGAGTATTTTTTGATTAAAAAATTAATGTAACACAAAATTAATTCAGATATTTCTCGTTTAACTGGTCCAGTCAGCCTAAATGCATGTGCTCCGTGAACATGGCGAGAATTCACGTTTTGTAATATGCTTCCGAGATAACTATATATATTTTTACTCATTTTTTAATTACACTAAATTCAACAGAAAATATAGTTGAAATCCACTCAAACAAAATTAAAAAGTTTAAGGCTAAAAATATTATCAAAAGTCTTCGCGTGGAAGGGTTTTTTAGCTCTACAACAGTTATTAATTCACTGAAAGTGAAGCTCGCATCAATAATTATATGCAAGGCTTATACAGAGTAACGCTTCCTAAATATGCCAATTAATCTTTAAAAGCGAACAAAAAACAATATTATAACAATGATATATCCTCGAGTAAAGTGCAAGAATGCGAACATGTTGTACAAAAAAAAAATATCTAACACTGTAGAAAAAATCTCGACATGATCCGCGACTTGTGGCAAGTCACAACAGCGCTGGCTATTTAAGACATAGCGGTGTTTTTAGCGCATTTTCTCATTTATGGAAATAATGCACTATTATGCTCGCCGTGTCCGTCTGTCTGTCCGTCCGTCTGTCCGTGACCTCAAGTTTTCGTCGACGAGAAAATGCGCTCTCTGTCACTCACTGCAGTGAGTACTGAGTTATATTTTTTTAAAGCAATGCGAAGTAGGCCATAGAAGCGCAGTCCGAGACTCGGAAATCCTCGAAGCGAATAGCGCGGTGCCAAATATTGGGGCGTATGTCGCGCAGGGTCAATCCTCGGCTGACTTGCAATCACCTCGGACAATCCCTGTATGGCTGCTACAGCGGCGGACAATCCCTGTATGGCTGCTGCGGCAGCAGGCAATCCCTGTATGGCTGCTACAGCGGCGGGCAATCCCTGTATAGCTGCTGCGGCAGCAGGCAATCCCTGTATGGCTGCTACAGCGGCGGACAATCCCTGTATGGCTGCTGTGNTCTTATACACATCTAGATGTGTATAAGAGACAGCTGTATGGCTGCTGCGGCGGCTAGCAATCCCTGTATGGCTGCTGGACCGGCAGGCATTGTATTATTATTAGTGCGTTAAAATGTCAAACGCGGTATGCTATTATGCGGCGTGTTCATTTATGCCATCACAATATGTTATGCCGTGTCGTTAAGCCATTACAATACGTTATTTTATGTCGATATGCCATCGCAATGTTATTTCATGTCGAAATGCCATCACAATTAGTTATTTGAAGCCATTGAGCCATCACAGTCTGCCACAGCGTTATGCCATGCTCCTACGTCCTCACGCCACAACGGTATGTCATGTATAAGTAGCAACTTCAAGTTCAAGCAACTTCAACTCCTACGCCATCACGCCACAACGGTATGTCATCTATAAGTAGCAACTTCAAGTTCAAGCAACTTCAAGTTCAAGCAACTTCAAGTTCAAGCAACTTCACGGCAACTCTAAACTAGCGTTGTCGGGAAAACTTAGCGCGCGGGAAGCCTCGAGACTGCAATAGAATCGAACAATAACGACCTCTGGCCAAAGTGTGGCACAACTCGAGCGATAAAATTAATATTTTTCATTGCCTTACAGTTCCAATAGTTTTCATTGTCTGATATTGCCAATACTTTTCATTGTTTTGTATTATGAGACTCGCAGCAACAAAGCCACAACGAAGCTCTCCCTAGCTGTCGACATCAGAAAATGTTTAGTATGAAGGCTTAGGAAGCTTTTAAGGGAAAATAAAAAAAAACATAACTTATTTTACTTAGTGAAATTGAGAAGTACGTTCCCATAATGCTATTAGCATCTGGGCTATGAAATAAGAGTTGTGCCTGATCCGTGTAGAATTATGGTAAATTAATTTAAAAGTATTCATGTTGCTATTATACGTAAAATCAACGCAAATTAGACTGTGGCGAGTAGAAAGTTTCTTTTATTGTTTCAAAAAAAAAAAAGCGGGCGTTCCATTGATGAGGTAGATCAGATCATTTTATAATGCGTGAGATAAAGAAGTNATAAGAGACAGCGGTGGGGCGCCTCTTCATGTTGTGGGGCCCAGTCTTCCCGTGACGGAGGAGCGGCTCTTCATGTTGTGGGCCCGTCTTCCCGTGACGGTGGAGCGGCTCTTCATGTTGTGGGCCCCGTCTTCCCGTGACGGTGGAGCGGCTCTTCATGTCGTGGACCCCGTCTTCCCGCGACGGTGGGGCGGCTCTTCATGTTGTGGGCCCTGTCTTCCCGCGACGGTGGGGCGGCACTTCATGTTGTGGGCCCCGTTTTCCCGTGACGGAGGAGCGGCTCTTCATGTTGTGGACCCCGTCTTCCCGCGACGGTGGGGCGGCTCTTCATGTTGTGGGCCCCGTCTTCCCGTGACGGTGGGGCGGCTCTTCATGTTGTGGGCCCTGTCTTCCCGTGACGTTGGAGCGGCTCTTCATGTTGTGGGCCCGTTTTCCCGTGACAGAAGGTGTTCGGGGCCCCGGCGTTGAGCGACATTCCCGTTGAATGACGCAGGTCGCGCTAACAGAAAAGGTCCATTGATTGTCGATAGCGGCGCATATACGAGGCCAAAAGCCACTCCCAGCCTCGGCAATTGATGGCAAGTCCGTCAAGCATAAAAAAAGCGAGACTTTCTTTTTCAAAGAGGAGCCAAGCTATATAAAAGGTCATATTTTTACAAAGAAAACTTGCAAAAATGTGAACATTTCGGCAAAGAAAACTAACGGAAAGACAGTATTTTTCCAGGGAATATTTTTGAAATAAAAGCAAAGCAATTTAACAAGCAAACGTTTCAAAAAAGAAACAATTTTGAAAAGAAAACTGGCGAAAAATGGCAAAATTTTTGCAAGCGAAATTTGTGAAAATTTTAGATCGAGCGCAACGCGTAATTGCCAGGTTTCGACGAAGAATGAAATGCTCTTGAGAGAGAATTGTAATCTTGCATTGTTAGGGAATAGTATACATTCATTAATATTTCGTAGTAACTACTTTTCTATTTTCATTTAGAGCTTTCCATACTTTAGGTTTTGCAAACATCCGGGATTCATTCATTCATGTTTTGGACTTTAGCTGGTAAGGACTACAAGGGCACAACGCAAGTGTACAGATTTGTTTTAATAAATACAGTGTGAATACTCAGTGTTTTATCTTAACTGAACCTTTCACGGCCGTATCGAGTTAAAAGTGATTATGAAGTAGTCCCCCAGCAGCATCAATTAAATTGTAATCTTGCATCAATTAAATTACCGACTTTTTTAGTTTTGATCACTTGACTAACGTCCTTCGCAGATGAAGGCATCGCTTCAACTACCAAGATTCGCGTTTACTTTTAAACTTGCGTTGAATATTAGTTTGGTCGTCATTTATCTATTTCACTCAATTCAGACCATAATAAATTATCAAGCATCGCGGTATACGTGTTCAAATCGAACTCTATCGAGAAAAATGCATCAGGATGATGCTAATCCATGATAAATCGTGAATTAAATCCGCATAAAAAACTTCATTTGAACTTCAGATTCGTCCTTTTGTTATCGCAACTATGGCAAATCACAAATTTCGCGAAATAAATAATTTAATCCATTAAAAAATTGATAAATGCTTTTATAAATTTTTTTCACAATAATAAATGTTTTTGTAACTGAAATAATTGACACAGAAATGTAATAAAACAACGATAAAATAAATATAATAATTAATTACCTGTTCGGTTTTTATAATTGCAATAATGGACACAGAGACATAATAAGGAAATGCTAAAAATATATATAATAAGTAATCACCTGTTAGGTTTTTATAATTGCAATAATGGACACGGAGATATAATAAATCAACGATGAATAAATATGATATTAAATATAACTAAATATAAATATAATAATTAAATATATAAATATAATAATTAAATATATAAATTATGAAGACCTGTTCGGTTTTCATAATTGCAATAATGGACACAGAGATATAATAAGGAAATTATAAAATAAATATACTAAGTAATCACCTGTTCGGTTGGCGCTAGAGGGCCTAATCTTCCTGTCATAGCCGTTGATGCCGAGGATCTCGTCGAGCAGGCGCTTCTCTCGCGTCCTGTTGTTCTCGCGTCGGGGCGGCCGCCCCCCGCCGCCACGACCACCGTGGTAAGCCGACCTCCGGCCTGAGGGGGGCAAGTAGTAATACTCGTGTTGGATATGGATATTGGATACTCATCCTGTTGTTGGATATCCATATCCTGCTATATCCATATCCATATCCACCCTGCTGGTGGATATGGATATCGGATACTCACCCTGCTGGTGGATATGGATATCGGATACTGACCTGGTTGTTGGATATGGATATTGGATACTCACCTTGTTGGTGGATATGGATATCCAATACTGAACCTGGTAGGAGATGTCAAAAAGTCATCCTACTGCTGAATATCAATATCGGATACTCACCCTGTTGGTGGATATGGATATCGGATACTGACTCTTGTAGGAGATATCGAAAAGTCATCTTACTGCTGGATATCAATATCGGATACTCACCCTGTCGGTGGACATCGAAACTCACCCTACAGGCGGACCTACTGTATGCATCACGTAAAAACCTGGTAACCACATTTATCCTCATCAATCACAGGTTTAATCTTTTACCCACGGCTACATTAACTTTGTCATTGCAATTAATATGCAAAGTTCTGCTAACGCGAGCTACCCTCGATAGAAAAAATATGACTCAGTACTTCACTGCAGCGAGTGACAGAGCGCGCATTTTCTCGTTGACGGAAACGTGAAGTTGGACGGACAGACAGACGGACAGGAAGGACGGACAGACAGACGGACAGACAGACAGACGGACGGACAGGCAGACGGACGGACAGACAGACGGACGGACAGACGGACGGAACGACATGACGAGCACAATAGCGTTTTTTTTCCTGAATAAATGAGAACATAAATGAGAAAATGCGCTAAAAATTATATTGGACAACATGAATAGTACCTACAACTTGGACATACCTGCAAGTCCACTGCGCTTGCTGCGGGAGGTCACATTAAGTCCACCCAAGTCCCCCGCGGGGCTGCGGCAAGGCATGGGGCTGGCACGGCTTCTGACGCTACCAGACCCGCATGGTTCTTTCACATCCCCATCGAGTGGGGAAACTAAGTCTTCTCCTCTTCTCCAGGCCATACGAGCAGCTAGTCTTCTCTCCCTCTCCTCATCATCCTTCTCCTCTAATGACATTATTCTTTTGCTGTTTCTTCTTGTTTTGGTTGTGGAGTAGTTATCGTTATCGTCGCTGTCGAATTCCCTTGATGGAAAATCATCCTCTTCGGGGAATGGCATCAACTGTCCCTTCATCCCCGCTCTGCTTAAGGATCCCTGCAACAAGCCTCCTCTTCCCCCACGTATATTCCCCACCACTCTGCTGCTGCTGCTGCTGCTGCTGCTGCTGCTGCTGCTGCTGCTCTCGTCGCTGTCGCTTCTGCTGCTCATGCTCGAGCCGCCAAGCACGCCGATGCGGCCCGAGCTCCTGCACAAAATGAAAATCATGAGTAAAATGTTGAAAATTTGAATTCTGTTTAATATCGCTGGTTAAAATTGATAAATTTTGGAGCTTTGTTTTACAATCTAATGCCAAAATTTCAAGGTTTAGTAAATTTGTTCTAATTATAAGTTCCAAATTTGGATTAGTTTATTTCTTGCCGAAATGGTATCTGCAAAATATTGTTAAAACAACAAAAAATAATAAAGGATAACGGCGAACTGTATCGTTGATACGGTATTGAAAGAAACGGTGAAAAAACAGTAACGTGCAAGCGTGTTGATTGTGTTCTCATATCGCACGGGGCTAACAGCAGTAACAAAATGGATCGTTAAAGTTCGTTAGCTTCACTAATGTCGATATAAGTGCAATGCATTACAACTCGCATGAACAAAGCTGTACAATGCATTCATTGGAGCTGCAAAAAGCAGTAATTACAGAGGCACAAACATCGGCAATAATTCATGCAGTAGTGGCACACATTCAGAGGCAACAAATTCATAAAATGTTTGACATTTGATAGACATATTTATTAAAAAAAATAAATTTTTTAAGCCTCATAACCAATAGTCTACACACTCACATTTGTCTTTGTCTCCACGATCCCGAAAAACTGTAATAAAAGAGGAGAGAAAATGCAAATTAGTATATGTAAATAGCATCAAATGAATTACTCAAGGACAAGAAAAATAGAAGATACATATCAAATAATCTGACTGTGTTCACATTCGCACTTCAAAACTCAAGTTATTAATAATTTTGTAAGCTTTCTATGATAAGGATTATGAACAAATGTCAATTAAAAGTTGTACAAATATATCGGTACTGCTTAAAATTTTCAGATGTCATATACTGAAATGCCAATGACTTAGGCACGAGTAAAGACATTTGCTTCAACGAGAATAATTCGATCTCACCGTCGAGAATTATCGTGACTGGATTTTTACTCGTATCCTTCATATACAAGTGGGTGTAGCAGTCATGACTCAACCGACCCTTCATATAAAAACGGGTGTAGCAGTCATGACTCAACCGACCTTCATATACAAGTGGGTGTAGCAGTCATAACCCAACCGACCCTTCATATACAAGTGGGTGTAGCAGTCATAACTCAACCGATCCTTCATATAAAAGTGGGTGTAGCAGTCATAACTCAACCGATCCTTCGTTTACAAGTGGGTGTAGCAGTCATGACTCAACCGACCCTTCATATACAAGTGGGTGTAGCAGTCATGACTCACCCGATCCTTTATATACAAGTGGGTGTAGCAGTCATAACTTAACCGATCCTTCATATAAAAGTGGGTGTAGCAGTCATAACCCAACCGACCCTTCATATACAAGTGGGTGTAGCAGTCATGACTCAACCGATCCTTCATATAAAAGTGGGTGTAGCAGTCATAACTCAACCGATCCTTCATATACCAGTGGGTGTAGCAGTCATGACTCAATCGACCCTTCATATAAAAGTGGGTGTAGCAGTCATGACTCAACCGATCCTTCATATACAAGTGAGTGTAGCAGTCATACATGACTCAACCGATCCTTCATATACAAGTGGGTGTAGCAGCCATGACACAACCGATACGAGTGGGTGTAACAGTCGTATACGAGTGGGAGTAACAGTCACAGTAGAACGCAAAAATTCAATAAAGGCTAGCTCCCCGAGAGCTTTATGTTGAAGCTGAATGAGCGAAAGGATGTATGTATGTAGGGATGCTTTACACAGAGATTGAATGGCTCTGCGAAACCATAGCAACGCGAGAGTTGGAATACGTCGCCATGACGACGCGACGCTTTTCTCGCAACTCAAGCGTGGTAACAACGAACGCCCACGATACATCGGGATGTAAGCATATCTGTAATGTACGTAATTCTTCATTACCTATGCTCTCATTCATAAGAATGAAATCAGGAGTGCTTAGCAATGAGGAGGATTAAATGAATTATCTTTTATACCAAAGAATTATCCGCTTCTCAATATTAGCTTAGGTTTCCTAAATATTAATTTCTGAATTCAACCCTGGCGGCGTAAATCTTTACTGATGAATTAGAATGAAAAATTTTCAACTTAAATAGCTCTTAATCTAACCTTTGAAGAAATGATGAAGATGATTATGATGATTTTGAGAATGATGGTGATTTAATGCTATTGATGATAATTTTATGACAGTAGTTCAATTTAATCCCGGATTAAAGGGGGACAGTAGAGCTTGGCATAATAGAGGTAAACAATCAAAGGCTCGCAAAACAATTCGTTTCTCCAATGCATTAATCTGACAAATAAAATTACACGATGAAGTGAAAAATTCGGTACAGAAATCCAGCGAAAACAAACAAGAATTTAGCGTAATCCCTGGAAGGCACTTTAGCATAAAATACCCCAACTCTGACAATTATAGATCTTTTTTCTCCGCCACAGAAAATTGTTAATATTTTTCAGTAACCTCCTACGCCGCAGGCATTGAAAAATGAAAGAAACAGATATACTGTACATAAAATTTGCTTTTGTAATGACAAGATTTAAAATTCCATTGGAATGGCAGTATTCAAAAAATTTAAATCGTATAGAAGCTGATCTGCGGCATAATTTTTAGTGCGGCTGAGTAATTTTAAGAAATCGACAGGAAGGACAGAAATTCTAGAAAGATTATTATTTGATTTGTATTATATTTATCAGATTTACAGCGTTTCAAAGTCGAAGCAAAACTTCAAGTCTCCAAGTTATAAGATAACGACTTTAAAACTTTTTAAGTTAGCATTAATAGTACGCAAGAGTCATTTTAATCAATAAAATATATAGATGACCTGTAATACTGCGTCATGACAAATCCCCTTCACGCATCATGATGCTCAATACAATTTATTCAATATCGTAGTGCATAGTATATAGGGCTTGTCAAGAATTTAAATGAGATCGTAAACATTAGCTCAATAAGTTAAATCGAAATTGAATTATGGCAGACTCGTGGCATCGGTGATGACATAAATTGTCGACGTCAATCCGACATTGAAGAAATTTTAAATAAAATTCGTTACTGTATTCGAAACTTAGTCTTTAGTCTTAGTATTCGACAGAGTCTGAGAGTCTTCCTCGCTCTGACGGATTAAATAAATAAGATTCCCGAAGACAAATCCTTACATTGATTCGAGATTAAAAGATGTTCGTGGTGGCACTCCATTAGATTGATGACCAGGAGCCATACTTTCAAAAAAAGTTAAAAGATCGTAAGTTCATCAGCTAATTATTGACGGCCTTTCAAACAAAATTCACCAATCATAGACAAGAAAATAGTTGTAAGTACTTACGTTCACTTAGCGAGTTTTGAAAGTATGGCCCCACCAAACTAACATTCGCAGTGAAAATTTATAGGATATATTGTCTAAAAAGTGACACACTTTCTTACCACAGCAGGAGCAGAGATAGGACGTAGCCCTGATACGCCCTTTTGCCGGGCAAAACTGGGTCAGGATGACCCACACAAGGGCAGACAGTGCATCGCTATTTGGACAAAATTTCACTAATCTTTCTGTGTTCCACAAGAACAAGTCAGTGAACAGTTTAGAAGCTTATGAATTTATCGCTACTTCAGTAACACAGGGAAAATCCCCTCTTATTAATGATGCTTTGGTTTGCTTTACGTCAATACAAAAAGTGAAGCTTTAATGGATAAAATAAAAATATCAGACTCAGATATTAAATCCTGTTTGAAATTTCCACATACTGACTGGAATAAGGGAACATAAAACCACATTATATATCTACTAATCTAAATGGAAGCCGCACCCGTATTGTTTAGCTGTGTTATTTAGTTAGACTAATTCTCAACAATGCGTCCAGATGTATGCTTATTAAGCCTCTTTGTTCCATTTAATGACTGCATAGAGCAAGGTTAGCCGAGGCTTCTATGCACTATCAAAGAAGGCTCTACAAGTGACCTGAGAAGAGAGCTTCTCTCCGGAGCGAACGTTGAGCGAGAGCAGTCGTCGTATTTAAAAGAGCTATATATTTATATATTGTCCGAGCACTCACTTATCCGAGCGACCGTCGAGCAGTCGCCGTAATTAAGAGAACTACTCTTCCGAGCTGACACCGAGAAGGGCACTAGCCGTAATTAAGAGAACTACTCTTCCGAGCTGACACCGAGCAAGAGCACTAGCCGTAATTAAGAGAACTACTCTTCCGAGCGGACACCGAGAGATAGCACTAGCCGTAATTAAGAGAACTACTCTTCCGAGCGGACGCCGAGCGGTAGTGTTGCCCGTAATTTACAGAACAAACAAACTCTGCCGAGTTGTGCGATATATCCCCGACGTCCCATCTGCGGATTAACGTGTAGCTCACTATAGCAAATGGACTCGAGGAACGCATGGCACGACAGCTGTGATAAAATGACAATAAACTTGGGTATAAATAATTCTGGTTTTATTTTTTATATATTCAAGAAATAATTTAATAAAGGAAGTCCTTGGGAGGAGTTATTGGAGGCGATTAATGAAAGGTATATGGTGGAAAATGAAGCTAGGGAAATAAATAGATGTAATATTTATGTGAGATGCCAGATGCAGGACAAGATGAGGAAGGGGAGGCTTAATTAAATATCCTTATATAGGGTACAAGTTGCGTCCTATGACTTTTTTCAAAGATATGGGACCAAAATTCAGAAAAATGATCTTAATAAAGGACGGGCCGCATAAATAAGCTCATCTCAGGCTGCTAACAGAGAACCTGCATCATCTCATCACGGCCGCCCGTCCAGCCACATTTATCAAACTTTAAAAAGCGTCGAGGGTTTTACCTTTTCTCCGCGGCACGCGCTTGTTTGCGTTCATTTTAGCAACGATATTTACGTCATAAGCCGCATTAAAAAGCCGAGACACTTTTTAAATTGTAATAAAAGCGCGAGGCT